TCTTTTCCATTAAATACTTGCTTTCTCTCTCTCTCCAAATTATTTTTTCATATGCATCTATTCATATATCTCTCTCCGGATGAGTACCGCATGCAGTCATAAAAAAAATTAATAAATATTATTTATTATCCACACTCATTCGCATGCACATGTAGGCATGCGTACGCATGCGCCGGGATATCGCTGCCTACTTCCTTGAGTTGCGCTCCACCCATCCTGCTCTTGCGAAGACGCTCTCCATCTCCTATATAAGACTCACTCCATTCCTTCTTCACACACACAGCAGCAGCTCCCCTTTCTCCTCCCTCGCCGAAAAACGCAGATGTTGTCGGAAAAGCCGACACCGAGCTAAATTCCGACGAACCTCCAAACCGACGTGAAAATCACGTCAAATCGACGCCAAGAGGAGTTTGATACGCTCAAAAAAGTCTACTTATTCAAATCTAATTGAAGACAAACCTCTTAAACTCAGGTATATCTCTTAAATTGAAACGATAATCACAAACTTCTCTCCCTTCCATATCTAAAAATAGATCACAAAATACACAAGTATCTATATGGATGTGATTTACTCTTCGAGCTGAACAAAACGAGCCCAAGAATGTGAAATTTAGTTGTGAATCGGCGGAGAACGGACTCCGAAAAGTTTCGGTCGTCGGTTCTCCTCCATGCATTGGTCGCTAGTTTCGGTTTCGTGTGTGTCGCGGTAGAGAAGAGAAACTTCGGGATTATTTATTTATTTATTTATTTTTAATTCCAGAAATTATGACTTAACTTCAAAATTGTATAACTTTTTGTAGAAAACTCAAAAAAATAAACTGAAAAATGTTATGAACTTAAAAAAAAGATAAGAATTTTTTAAAACTAAAATCACGATTTTTCATTAATTCAATATTTTAAAATTAATTTTTGAAGTTCTAGAGTATTTAAATTATAAAAATTAAAATATAAATGGGAAAAATATGAATTTTGGCAGAGATATTAAATGGACTTGGGGAAAGCTTCTCTGATTTTTCCAAAACATTTTAATGTCTCTATATTTGTATTTTTAATTTTTGAACAAAACGACATATTTATGTAAATTAAAAATTATAAAAATTATAAAAATTGTAAAACTCAATCTGATTGAATGTTTGACCATAGCCGAGGTTTAAAAATTTTAAAATCACGTTAAAAGTAATTTTTATAATTAAAATACATTAATTAGAGTTCAGGTTAAATTTAGGCTAAGTTTACCCAACCCAATATCAACCTAAGTCCAACCTAGTTAATTCTTTTTAGGTCTTGTTCAACCTGATTACAGATCTAGTCATCCAACTCAAGGATTGAGTCAATCACCCATTAAGTCTAATTTTAGTCATTTAGGGATTTAGGTCAGACAGTTCTTAGACCGAGTCTTGCCTGGGAAAACTTAACATTTAACTAAGTTCAATTTGAATAGTTGGACCATTTTAAACTTGATATTTAAGTCATCATATCATTCAAACTAAACTTCTTGGATTTTAGGGTTAGTCAACATGAACTTTAGTTTAGTTTGACCTACATATTAGGTTCATCCTAAACTAAACCTAAACCTTAGGTTAGTTAACCCTAAATCAATAGGATTAGCTAAGTCTAAACCTTAGGTTAGTTAACCGTAAACCAATAGAATTAGCTAACCTAAACCTACCTAAACCCTAGTTTAGTTAGCCCTAAATCAATAGGATTAGTTAACTCAAACCTTAAGTTAGTTAACCCCAATCCAATAGGTTGAGGTGTGGCGTCGATTTGACATGAATTTTGTGTCGGGTTGGAGGTTCGTCATAATTTAGCTCGGTGTTGGCTTTTCCGGCGACGTCGGAGTTTTTCGGCGAGGGAGGAGAAAGGGGAGTTGTTGTTGTGTGTGTGAAGAAGGAATGGAGAGGGTCTTATATAGGAGATGGAGAGCGTCTTCACAAGAGCAGGATGGGTAGAGCGTAACACAAGGAAGCAAACAGCGATATCTCGGCGCATGCGTACGCATGCCTACATGCGCATGTGGATGAGTGAGGATAATAAATAATATTTATTAATTTTTTTATGGTTGCATGCGGTACCCATCCATAGAGAGAGAGAGAGAGAGAGAGATCTGGAGAGAGAGAGAAAGACGTGAGGGGTAGGCGCGGGTTTAAGCATGCGTGAGTTACTATAAAATATATATATATATATATATATGAATAGATGCATGTGACCAAATAATTTGGAGAGAGAGAGAAAGCAATTATTTAATAGAAAAGATGGAAGCATGCATAAGTTATAATAGGATATAGAGTAATAGTTTTTTTAATATTCTATTATATTATTATAATAATAATAATAATATCATTCCCGCATGAAAGTCTTGCCTAGGCAAAATCAACGTTTTGGACGCGATCGCACAGTCTGTTTCCTCATCTGGGATTGTTCAGACAACTTTTCGTTGATCGAGCATAAAAATGTGTCAAATTTAATTTATTTTGAATTTTTGGTTCACGATTGATCGTTTTTTTGGAAATTGATCATGGGTCAATTAAATGGATTTGGATTCAATTGAAATTGGATTTAGACATTGTTGAATTTGATGTAAATTTGAAATTGGGGTATTTGATTGAGCATGAAGCTTAATTTGGAGGATTTGGATCAATTTGAGGGAATGGGTTTGGATCAATTTGAGGTCATTCACTTAGACTTGGATTCAGAATTAGAATATTCAAGTGGGGTATTTTTTTTAGGGGAACTGTATTCAAATAATTTTGGTCAGCCCCATGAGTGCAATGATTGTAACATTGTGATATGAAAATACAATGTTTTTGACGATCATGGTGATTATGAATGATGATGCAATGTATTGAAGTCCAAAAAGGTATATAATAGTGCAAGGCTTTCTTATGGTCCATAGGTCATATAGGAATTCTCATCAGGGTTCACTTATGTAATATCTAATCTTTGTATTAAAGATTATTGATCACATACAGAACCAACATAGAGAACAGAGATTTGGTTCAAATGTCTAAATAGAATATGGGTACCATTTCTAAGATGCTAAAATATTCATCAGGAAAGTCCTAAGACGAGATCATAGTCACTAACGGAAAGACCCAAAACCCTCACCCAAAAGTGAGGTCAACAACCATCTAGCTAATCTCTTTTGATTAGTGTGTGTAAGGGTGTAAACGAGCCGAACACGAGGAGCCCAGGCTCAGCTCGTGTTCGACTCGTTAAAAAATACTATTATTTGTATTTGACTTGTTTATATTTCAAACACAAAAAATATGTTTATGTTTTATATATATATGTGTGTGTGTGTGTGTGTGTGTGTGTGTGTGTGTGTGTGTGTGTGTGTGTGTGTGTGTGTGTGTGTGTGTGTGTGTGTGTGTGTGTGTGTGTGTGTGTGTGTGATGTGTGTGACCAAAGCCCATCTTTGACCAAGTGTGTTGTCTTAAGTCATTACGATATGTTTGTGACCCAAGCCCATCTTTGACCAAGTCTTTGTCTTAAGTCATTACGATATGTTTGTGACCCAAGCCCATCTTTGACCAAGTCTTAATGGCATGAGCAAGACGCTCTATACTTGGTCTATCTACGTCATCATGTTACATCTACTAAGTTCAACTCAATAACATTCATGTATATGGTTTGTCCATTTGTAACACTAAACACACACACATGGAGCCTACACAGTCGTGTTAGCCTAACCTATATCAAAGAAAGTTTGGCTAGTATTGCCACACCGTAGGTTAATCTATAGCCATTAAAGGATGGCAATCATCATGACCACTCATGGTGAACTTAGTATCGAGCTGCCCTAGAGGCGTTCCACATAGGGTTAGAATCCTAAAATTATCCTAGCATAATCCACGGCTCAATTGGTCACTCTGGTTAACTCATGAACTCTAATTAACCTAGCTTCGATTTGACTATATTCTCATTCAGTCTAACCTAAATTACATCGAGGATTGCAAGATTCACCACTTCACTATAGATTTTTAAGACGCATTTAGTCAACGCAAACTCATTATATTAGATTATGCTTGGTCAACCCAAAGCCTAGCATGTTATCCTTAGGTCAATTAGGTTAATTATCCAAGCCTATTGCAATTGAATGGCTCTTCACCTTTATCCAAGAAATTTTACACTTACTCTAAAGAACAAATTAATTCTAATTAATTATAAAATTTTAAAACTCAAAAAAAAAAGAATAAATATTAGTAAAAAGATATGAAAATTTTCTAAAATTAATGTGTTTTGCTAGTTAAATATTTTATATAATTTAAGCAATATAATTTTAAATTATTTGATATCAACTTTATATTAAAAAAAAAATTGATAGAAATTTTGCCTAATGTTTCTCTAAAATATTTGAGTTATTGAAACTTACTATCTATTTTATAATATATATTGATTATTCTAAGTTTAAAAAAAGTTCTCCTATGAGCTTATGAATATTATTGGTTTAATATCACTAAATTATTAGTGTTTTTTCAAGCCTTTATTCTTATTGACCCCTATTTATTTGTTCATGTATTTGAATATTATAACAAATATAATAATCCTCCCATCACATATGCCACAAAATTCATATGTATATACATATCTAATAAGTACCTAAACATTCATATTTAGGTCCATACCATTTAAATCTTTAACATCACATCAAAAATATCAACCTCAAAAATAAAAAAAATAAAAAAATTTATTTTTTAATATTTTTATAATTTAAAAAAAATTTTGAATTTTAATATATTTTGAGTATATTTTATGTTAGCTATTATTTATTTATTTTCGAGTAAATTTAATACTAAATGTGTCCAACACATTCTCAAACTCATAATATTTGTAGTGGGAGTTGAAACCCCTAACATATGAGCTAACTATATAATTTATTTAATATTCGGGTTGAATTTTAGCGAAATAATTTCAAATCGGGTCAATTTCAGGTCAAACCTGAACCGACCCACAAACCCAATTTAACACCCTCATCAAATTACAGAAATAACTATTAATTTTTTTTTTTCAGAAAATTCATGTTATTCAGAGCCATATGAGCAAAAGATGCACAGAAGAAGAGATTGGAAGCAAAAGCAATGAAACCTGATGAAGCAAGCCAACAGGGTTCAGTCTCGCTGCTTCTTCCCAGTAACCCCAGCAACCACCTGCAAGTATTTTTTTATTTAAAATAAAAAAATAAATAAAATTATTTCCCAATACCATAAAAATGTTTTAATGCATAAAAAAATATAGGGGCATTTACATACATATCACAATACTATTATGTATTTACATATCCAATACCTAAATTTTCATATTTACACGCATAATACTCAAATTTTTTTTATATCTCATAAAAAATGACACTATTACTAACTTTTTTTAAAGCGAAATACACATTTGTATGACGCCAAAGCACATATATTTCATAAATGGATTTTCATTAGCCTTGTTTCAAACTTCGGTTCTATAGCTCCAACAAGTAGATTTAGGGTCGGAATGAGGGGAAAGCGAGTAAAAGATATGAGAAGAAACGCGCGTCCCGCGCTTCACTAAACTGCGCGGCCGCCACGATCAGAACGCCTCCCCAAACAACCGAGATTAGCAGCCCCCAACCGCGCCGCATGAAAACCGCCGTCCCAAACGGGCCCTTAGTTTTACATAATTAAATAATAACAGAAAAGGCTAATAATAATAATAAAGGAAACAAAGATCAATACAAAATGTTCGTTGCAAGAATTTAGTATAAGAAATGTTTTGATTGAATGGGAAACTCACTTCACTGAGTGGTGGTTGTGGCACTTGCTCGGCCGATTCAAAGGAATCCAAGATTGGCCTAACAACAGCAGGGAGGAGCAAACCTATACAATGAAATAGTTACATATTAGAAGCATTTACATCACTCAATGCTTATGTATTTACATATCTAACAACTGAATTTATTTTTTTACATTTAGAACACCCAAACCTTTCATATCACATAAAAAATATCACTATTTTAACTTTTGACACATTTTCATGCATGGGTAATGTGACATATATATGTAAAAATTGAAGTTTATGCATTAGATCTGTAAATAGATAGAGATTCAGTGGTATATATGTAAATTTACCTAAAATATATTAAAATTACTCAACAAAAAACAAATGGAGAAAAAGGATTCATGTAGCCACCCCACTTAGTGGGATAAAGGCTTGTTGTTGCTGTAACAAAAAACAAATGGCATAAGAAGGATACCAAGAAATAACATTTTAATAAAGGGGCATTTACATACATAGCACTCGGTTCTTATGAATTTACGTATTACACATCAAAACTTCTATTTTTACACGCATTGCATCCAATTCTTTCATATTACATAAAAAAATAACACTAATTGCACTTTTTAATGGTCAAATTCACCTTTTTCATACATAAGTGCTATGCCTGTAAATATGAAAGTTTAGGTGTGAGATACGCAAATCCATAACAATTGAGTGCTACCTATGTAATTTTCACTTTAATTAAACAGTGGGCATAATACTACGTGTCAAACTTAGGAATTCTCACTCATTGTTCGTTCCTATTGAGCGTTGCAAGAGGTCTCAAATTCATTCTTTACAAATCTCTTTGAACAACTTATATCCATATTACCTAAGTTATATCAGCAACGACAACAACACCAACAATAACAAGCCTTTATCCCACTAAGTAGGGTCGGCTACATTAATCCATTTTCTCCATTGCATCCAATCGAGTTTCATATTTTCAAATTTTCAAATTTGTTTAGTGTGTGGCACTTGAAGATATCAATGAGTTGAAGAAAGGTAATTTGGCTTCTTAAATCAAAAAATGAAATACACTTTGATTTTAAATGTTTTGCTTAGACGAACAAAATGAGAAGTTGTAATAATGACATTATTTTGAAGAAGGTTACAATTCATTAATAGCTTATTTTGAGAATTGCCTTATAGCTCAAGATCATTGATTGTTCTATTACTTAAAAGAAGGCACATTATCAACGAGCAGCCACAAATTCAAGTTGAGCAAATCGGTTCGAATCCACGCCGACTTTTTTTGTATGTTCAAGATGCATGTGTTCATGATGAAGTAATTCTACAACTTTGAAGAGTTACGAAATATATATATATATAGACACACACGCAACTTAAAGCGCTAGTTGAAAAGTAAGGTGGTTATCACTCTCAACCTCACCAAATAAAAGAATAACAAACTTATCACACGACTAAATTTTAAATTAAAAAGAATAATCTTAAATATATAAAAATTAGTGTACCTTACAATATAGATTTTCATGTGTATTTAAAGGCTTTATACGAGTTTTAATGATCGTCGGATTACAAAGAAGTATATGAAAAGCCAAAATTAAATAAATTATATAAATATATGAGTTTCAAATGTCGACCATTTGAATTTTCCATCAAATCAAGTTAGAACTACTGATAATATTCAATCATTACATCTCTCCTTAATGTGGTTCACAACATCCTTGAATACTTGATAAGCTAGGATTATAATGTTTTTTTTACTTAAACAAAGCTATATCATATTATTTCTTGTTATCACAACTTTAGTAATAAATTTATGCGATATAGATACTAGAAATGTTGCATCAACTCCCATGAACCCAAAAAAATTCTTCTTGGAACATTTGAATCCTAGATAGTTGTCCATTTTGTCAAGAACTAAGTTTTCTCTCTATATTCTTGAGCAGATTGCTTTAAGTTAACTTTTTAATAACATATTTGGCATTTTTTTTATTTATTTGTTGTCGTACTTCATAATGAAGACCAATAAAGTTTTTATAAACATTCAATGCAGAGTAGAAAATGCATGAGTTGACATGTGCATCAT